TGGTAGAATGCCAGTCATTTGTTGAATAAAGCTTTTTCATACTCTGTGGTGGTCAGTAAGGATATTCTATTTTGTTCTGGTCAGTGTTTTGTGTTCTCTAGGGGGTCCAGGCACTTTCTAGTCTACGGTCACTGTGTGGTCAGTTTGGTTTCTATGGTCAGAATGGTCAGTACATTGTGTTCTCAGGGATGTCCAGGAGTGGTCTATTCTTTGATGGTAATTACCTTTCAGAGTGTGGCTTTAAACTTTCTCAATCAAATAACGATGAACTGATGTGCTGAGGGTCTCCTATGCCTCTCTCCAATGAAGGAGCTGCTTTGCTACAAGGTCCAGCAACCAATGAGAGGGACAGGAGGACTGTTACAACCGCAGTGGAGGCGGAGCTTCAAGAGCCCATTGCTGTCCGTCATCTACTTGGACTTGACTGGAGATGGGCTGAGAGAGCTGGCGATTCTAACACTCAAGAGGCTGCACATACTACAGGTGCATTATCATAGAGGGTCATAGCACAAAGTGTAGGCCTATAATACTAGTGTCATTTTACAAGAGCATAATATACAAATGTTATTACAGAAACATACTGTATGTATCATCTCTTTTCTCTCCCCCTTTCTCTTTCTCTTTCCATTCCTCCATCAGTTCCCCTCTCGTCCTCTCTCCAGGTCCATCAGCGACTGGCAGACAGGGTGTCAAAGCTGACCACTGGCTCGGAAGTTCAGCCAATCACGGAATGGGACACTGAAGAGAGGGAGGCTGTAACCAATGAGTCCCCCGTCAAACTGAGAACCAACCACCTGTTTTTTTGTTACCTGTTCCAATAATGACAGTTTTCCATAAAGTATCTATAGAGGGGGGGCTGCCTTAATGGACATCCACGGCGCCCGGGGAGCAGTTGTTGGGGGTTCGAACAGCAGATTTTTCCACCTTGCTGGCTCTGGGATTCAAACCAGCGACCTTTCGGTTACTGATCCAACGCTCTTAACCGCTTGACTACCTGTTGCCCCCTCTAAAAAACGGGTGATATATCATGAAATTATTCCAAAATGAATAAAATTCTGTATTGACTTATTAAACCTATCTAGTTACATTATTTCAAAACTTAATGCAAATTCACACCTGTCATTTGGTATATGAAAATTGGTGTAAAAGGTATGAAGAAAATTAGCTTCATAGTGGTTTGGTCCATTTTTGGGGTGAACCAAAGATTGTCTATTATATTGACAAGATAGTCAATTGACCGCTCTAACAACGGAAATACATGTCCTCAAAGATGGAAGGCAGGCGAGATCAGGTGGGACCATTCTAGCCAATGAGAGGGCAGATATGTGTGTGAACCTGCTGGTCATCTATGAACGTTTGAACATCTTAAAGAACAATCTGGCCTTAATGGCCATGTATTATCTCCAGCCGGCACAGCCAGAAGAGGACTAGCCACCCCTCAGAGCCTGGTTCCTCTCTAGGTTTCTTCTTAGGTTCCTGCCTTTCTAGGAAGTTTTTCCTAGCCACTGTGCTTCTACATCTGCATTGCTTGCTGTTTGGGGTTTTAGGCTGGGTTTCTGTATAGCACTTTGTGACATCTGCTGACGTAAAAAGGGCTGTATAAATGAATTTCATTGATTGATTGAACAACAGGTCATAGAGATAAATAGAGGACTCTCTGTGTATCTGTACCATTATAGCTTCTGTGACAGTACGGGCAGCGCCATTGAGGCTATATCCATTTTAAAGTATTCCATTTTCTTCTTCTTCATTGGCTGATTGCGCCCAACTCATAGGAATCCCCACCCAGTTGACTACTTTAAAATTATGGAAGCCCTCAATGGCGATAGATGTGTTAATGGTATGCAGACCGTGGGGGATAGAAGAAGGAGACCGGATTGCCGCACATTCAACAAATCTAATCTAACAAAGTGATATTGGTCAAATCCGTCATGATTGATGTATTGTAACAGGCCCACAATGTGGTTACTAAAGTCAGATTTGGATATATATTTGGCTGTTTTCACTGCATAACATTTAGAAGTAGTCGCTTTTCAGGTTTAGAAGCAGTGACTGCTAAATGCTAACTCCCGTTCTTATAAGCTGGTAACATAGCTAGCATAGAGAAATCGGTGGTGGTAGTCAAAGTCGTTTTTAACTAATGTAGTTGATTGGTGGCGATGACATGAACATGTATTGGGGTTGACATCCATACAAGCGCTATAATCTGATGGGTAATACACATATAAACATTAGCCTAAATGGAGGCAAATTTGTCTGGGGGTCAATAAGGAGATTCGGGATCTTTCCCCCACGGCATTTCCATTGTTTTGGTCGAGTTCCATTGACCTCTTTACCGCATCTATACTCTGAGTCGATATTCACGTCATAAGAAGGAATTCCCCTCGACCATGCCCACAAATTGGGGAAAACAAACGTTCTTTCCCATTGACCCCCATTGTAAAAGAGACAACTTCTAGGTTGATTTTTAGCTATACCGAAATAACAAAACATGCCGAAAAACTGCTGTGTTGTTGTTGTTCAATGTACATGTAACCACGTCAAAAGTCCCAACCTACGGTTTGCAATGCTCCCACCTAGGGAAATAGAGCCTGGGAGAAGAGCCCTGTGGCCTCAGGCTATTCTGCTTGGGAGAGTGGGAAATGTGTGGACCTGGTGTCAAAGTAGGCTACATGTAGCAATGTGTGTGGAAAACATTTCATCACAGGAAGACATTTAAATTGTTTAGTATAGTCAGTTTGTAACTCCACTCACTACTTGTAGCGGTATAGTCCCTTTGTTTGTGTTCTTGGTCTTGTTCCGGTCAGTAGCTTGCTAGCACCGTCCATCATGAAAAGGGGCATGAGGGAAGCCCTACAATATTTAGTTTTTCTAAGTAGTGGGAACACTCTGGAGCAGGCAATGTTGAAAAGTAATCTTTAGACATGTTATGCTTTACTTAAATGTAGTTTTGTTATTGATGAAAATGGCCGGTTGTGACACAGCCTGGGATCGAACGCAGGTCTGTAGTGATGCAGTGCCTCAGACTCCTGTGCCCCTCGGGAGGCCAGATGTCTCAAGTTTTGAGGGAGCGTGCAATTGGCATGCTGACTGCAGGAATGTCCACCAGAGCTGTTGCAAGAGAATTGAATGTTCATTTCTCTACCATAACCCACCTCCAACATCGTTTTAGAGAATTTCCAACAGGCCTCACAACCACAGACCATGTGTAACCACGCCAGCTCAGGACCTCCACATCTGGCTTCTTCACCTGCGGGATCGTCTCAGACCAGCCACCCCGACAGCTGATGAAAGTATTTCAGCTCATGAAAGTACAGCTGAGTATTTCTGTCTGTAATAAATCCCTTTTGTGGGGAAAAACTCATTCTGATTGGCTAGGCCTGGCTCCCCAGAGGGTGGGCCTTTTTCCCAAATGGGTGGGCCTATGCCCTTCCAGGCCCACCCATGGCTGCACCCCTGCCCAGTCATGTGAAATCCATAGATTAGGGCCTAATACATTTATTTCAATTGACTGATTTCCTTATATGAACTGTAACTCAGTAAACTTGTTGAAATTGTTGCATGTTGCATTTATACTTTTGTTTAGTATATATATAATACAGACTGGGACTATGTCCATGTTAAAATCAGGCCTCCAGTGTCCGGTCTGGGCGGAGTAAAACCTCTCGCTTACATACAATTGTTTCAACTTATTTCTATTGTAGGTAAACAATCCAAGCAGGGCATCTCTCCATAATAGTGTAAAATCTTCATAGATGTATTCAATTATAAATCTACTGATGTCTGGCCACATATCCTTACATGAATACAATGCCAAAAAAGATGCAGCACCATTTCTGGGTGGTCATTACAAAAGGTACACTTTGAATTAATGTTTTTCTAAAAGTTTTTCATATAGTGGTTGGCAGGATAATATTTATGAATAATTTAAAAAGAAACTTCCTTAATTTTGTAATAAGTAGGTATGTGTGTGGCAACATCCAAACTTTTTTCCAACAGATATTATCAATAAAACCATTCCAATAAGGCATGACATAAGGTATAAATACAACATCCTGCTGAAACATATAGCTCTATTGTTGTTGAATGGACCAAAAGAAAAACATATCTTTCCTGCTGATGAGTCAACAGGGTTAATC